ACGGGTCAGGCGTGTCAGTTGTGAGAGGGACTGATGACCTTTGCCTGTCTCATGGCAGCTTGCATCTCCCAGCACACTGCTCCCATTTCTCTCCTCCCGCCCCATTCCCACCCAGATCCTGGAAGCCTGGTACTGCCTCTTCCACAGAAACAGTGGGGACCTGGGATGATTCTTCTCCTCCTTGCTCCTCCTTGGACTCTGTCACTGGCTTTCTCTCTGTCCTGATTAATGTATTGCTCCAGACTCAGACTATCCAACCAGGGAAAGAACATTTAGCTGGGAGAAGGGGCTGGACAGCCTGGAACAAAGGAGTTGTTTCAACTCTTTTATTTGAGGCCAGAGCAATGTGAGCCAAGTGGGATCTTCCCAGCTTGGACCTTGAAATCCAGGTCTTCTGTGAGTTAAATTGGGACTTCTAAAAATTAGAAGTCAGTGAAATTGGTGCTGCTTCAAATGAGATTTATTAATTTACATCCTTTGAGGACCTTCCCCAGTATGAGACTGGGGGAAGAAAAGCATGTTAGAGTTGCCAGTAGCTTTTTGATTGTTACGTGTCCTTTTGTCTTCCCCATTGCCAGAACCACAATGCCACCTTTGTTTTCTCAGCCCTCTGTCCCCATCCCTTGGACACCTTAACTTTTGTGCTTGCTAAATTGAGGCTGGGAAGGCTGAAGCTGCTGCTAAATAGAAATAGGTCAGTGTGGGAGGCTGAAGGCTCATTCCAGATCAGCATCCAACAGCTCCACCTCCTTCGGTTCAACAGGACCTCCTTCCAAAGCCACAATCCCAGTGAATTTGCCTTTCCATTCTCAGGGCTGTGGCTTTCCTGCCCAGCAGGTGCTGAGCTGATGGGGCTGCTGTGCCACTCCTGGAATGTGAGCGTGGGTGGCTTTGGGCTCACTGCAAGATGTGAACAGTGTTTGCTCTGCAGGCTTTGCTCAGCTTCAGAGGCGGTGACAACCTGTCCCTTTCTGGCTTCCCCTCTGGAGAACAGTGCCTAGGAAGGGCAAGCTGCTCCCCCAGCCCAGCTCCCAGCTCCACATGTCCCACAGGAACCAGGTGCTGCTGCAGTGTACGTATGTCCTTATCAAACAAGCAGCCTTTGATAATTCCTCTTTCTTCCGGGCTTAACCTGCCTAAGTCTTTTTGGGGTGAGATACGACATGCGACTTGACAGCAATTCGAGGTGAGATTTTTTCCTCCTGGGAAAGCATGGCAAGAAATTAAGCTTTGCAGGTTTTCTGCCCAGTCGACCAAGCAAAGAAAAGTCCTTGGTGAACTTGGGTAGGGTCTAGGGACAGGAGAGCTACTGCTGTGATTTGTGGTTATTCTCTCTGCAGCGCTGCCTCCGTAGTCACAACTGAGAGGCAAGTGGTTTTGACACCTCTTTATGACCTGGGAGTCTCAGGGAAGTAGTGGTGACTTGTGTTCTGGAAAGACAAGGTCATTGACAAGGGTGGTGCAAGCAGCTTTGGTTCATCTGACCATGCTAGAATCCAAATATTTTCAATTCATGGGAATTAAAGTGAACATCCTACTTTTAGGCTGCTGGGTATTTGAAAGTGGGCGCTTCCCAAGGCGGTGTGCAGTACAGGGATATTAGAGGGAAAGATGTTGGTAACAGCAGTAGTGAAAATGGATGTCTGGTTTGAAGCCTATCTGTCCTACAACCTTCAGGGCCTGCCAGGGGACGTGTTTCCTGGGCTGTGAAAAACCAATATGGGACACAATCATATATCAGTGATTATATCGATCACTGTCTCGGACCCGTTCAGTCCAAGGACACCAGCACCTTTTGGAGGAGGTGTCGCTCCTGCTCAGGGAGTCTGGGGAGGGTGTGGGATGCGTGGCAGTGCTGGTGTGCGAGGGGAGGTGACTCTCCTTTAGGGAATGCTGGGTCCATACTCAAACCAATTAGTAGAATGGAGCTGAGCAAAGTACAGGAGGGACCTGACTGATAATAAGCAAAATGCTCAAATATGGGAAGTTGGGGAAGAAGCCAAATGAAAATGAAATTAAAGGCTAAGGTCCAACTACAGCAGTTGTGCAAAAAGGATGGGACAGCTGATAATAGGAAAGCCTGCAGGAACAATGGGTCAACTCTCAAGAGAGAGGCTGAAGGAGCCTGTGAACAAGCCAAGCAGGGGCGGGGGGAGGTTTATAGAAAAGTGTTTCAGCAAATTGGAGCTGTTGGCTTGCTTACCACCACGGAGACTGGCACCTCTCACTGTGACCTCTTTGCTCAGTTCTTTGTGCTGATGGCCAGCTAGAGAAGAGCATGGGCTAGCAGGGCCCTGACTCAGGGAGCAGCAAGGGGCTCCTTGGCAGACCTTTGAATGGGAGGACACTTCTCACCAACTGTGGTGCTGCAGACGGGCCAAAGGTGTTGGCTCTATCCCCCAGCTCAGGGCTGGTGAAAACTGCTTTGGGGACAGCCTCAGACCCCCCTTTTATGCAGAAACCTGTGGCTGAGCCTCTTCAACAGCAGCCTTTCTTAGTCTGGGAAACCCATGGAAAACTCAGGAGAGGAAAACCAACTTTTGACTGCAGATGAACTCCATAAAGACCATTTGAAGGGAGGTGTGGTAGAAAATATATTCCAAAAACCATGAGTCTGCATCTGAGATGCAAAGGAAATCATTCTGGTTAGCCCTGGTTCACATCAGGCAGCAGGGATTTCTTTCACAGCCACTGTGCCCAAGGCAATTCCATGAGACCTTGGAGTGAGAACCTTGGCTCTTGCCGGTGGTTCCCAGAGGTAAGGCCCTTCTTTCTCTTTGCTCCCCATGTCCCTGTCTGTACAAGAAGTCTGGGGATAAACCTTCTCAGTAAATCATCTGAAAACAGGCTTCCCACAAAAGAGAGCCCATCCTGAAGGTGGTGAAGAGGTCTGGAGGTCTCATTAGGAGGCTTGACTTGTGGGAGCTGTGGAGAAGCTGTGGAATAGAGTCATGTGTTCGTACCACTAATGTGGCTTTTTCTCTTTTTTTAAGCTCTGCACAAATGTGAGACTCTCTAGATAAAAGTGAATTTAACAGCTATTTGTATCCTTTGAGGAACATCAGTGCTGGTTGAAAGAGGGTAAAAGACCTTTTTTGTCGAGTCTGGAATGAACCTGCTTTTATTGGAGGACTCTATGACTGCTTTTGTTGCTATTTCCACTGACAGCTTTTACCTGACTTGTTTTCAAAATCCTTCTTGGAGGTTTTTTTTCTGTCTTGAAAAACTGCATTTCCTTGCTGAAATTCAAGTTTGGGGTCTGGAAAAATGTCCAAAATTATTTTGCAGATGGCTTGCTATGATATAGAAACCCCAGAAATAGGACATGCTGTGGAGGATGTCACCTGTTTATTTCCAGGAGGGTAGACAATTTATTTTAAACAATGCCATTTTCTTTTCAATTATAGAGGTTTTTGTGGAAAAAAATTGCAGCAGTCTCTACGAAGGAGCACGTGAACACAATTAAAGGATGTGCTGTGCTGTATCAGAAGGTAGTATTTAAACCAGGGAAAGTCTGAATATTGGCTATAACTCATTGTAATTATACCATCCATTTCAAACATGTAAATATGTTTGGTAGCACTTACATGTTTATGTCAGCTATTGGGAAAAGACGTTTCTCTTTTTGGTAAACTTCTTGTGGTAGGAATTTTGTTACTTGTATTTGAATAAGTAACAAACAATTTATATACCACAAATTTTTTTGTGTGCGAATAGAATTTGTTCCCCTCTCTTGTAGTTTTAGGATTTTGCCTGTGGTCAGTTTATTTATAATAATTTCATGAATAGATAATATTAATAAGCAATGCATTAATTAAGACATGTATTTCTTTATAGAACAGACCATGACCATGGCAGAGTTGGTGTGACACACAGGTTGAAGGTGATGCTGGGAATGGAATGAGTGGGAATATATTTCTGGCTCTTCCCATCTTTACTGGGATCAGTGGTATTTAGCTCATTTTGAAAGGGCTTTGAGATCCCCAGGTTGAGATCTCTCCAGAAGACCTAAAGTCTAACACACAAAGCCTGCAAAATCCTGAAGGCTGATTTAACCTGGCACCTGGAGTGAAGCTGTGTCTCTGCTCAAACTGATGAGAAAACTCCCTTTGCTTCTGGGGACTGGGATCCTTCACCAGGGGAAATCATTCTGAGCCTATTTCCCGTCCCTTTGACATTCTCTGTCTTATCAAAAGCCAGAGGAGTAAGGAAGAAGGTTAATGACTAAATTGACAAATAAACAATCAGTTCAAAGCAACAAGACATTTCCAGGAAAGTTTTAGCATTTCCTCTGGAAACCAGTTAGGAATGTAAACACCGCCACACTTCAGTATAAAGAGGACCATCTATATGGCGCTCATTGTGTTACAGGGACTATTTCTGGGAAATAGAAAGGGCTTTGGGTTTTCCGTGGAAAATTTTCTTTCAGAGGAAAATTGCAGAAGAGAAAAAAATTAATTTGGTCGTGGTGAACAAAGAAGGGCATGGCCAAAGCGGTGTCTTAGGTAGAGACCCTCTGATGGTGTGAGGTATGATCTGTGCTCTGGCTGGCTCTGGGAGGTCAGGTTTCGGGCAGCAAAGCAAAGGAGTCTCTCTTCAGCAAAAAAGGAAATGTTTAAGGAGTCCCAGGCCAGGAAATTGCTTCTCATCCCGGTGGCTTCGTGAGTGTTGAGCGATGGTGACAGTGGGATGCTTCCCTCGCGCTCAGAGAACGAGAGAGTGTGTTTGGCCTTCATTTCCAAGAGCTCCACTTTGCCACAGTAACGGTGCATTAACAACAGCTTGATTTTCATTTAATAAATAATAGGAATTACACTGTGACACAGCCAAGATTTTAAAAAAGAGGCTCCCATAAACATTTTCTGCAGGAATCTGTGATAAACCAAAGATAGCATTCGACGTACTCGGGGGGAGTGGGGACGCCAGACTTGGATGCTGTCCATCTGCTACGCCATTGAAACAAAACCACTTTATAATAACCACAGAGGAGAGGAAGCGAGGCAGCTTGGCACACACACTTACACTATGTGTGGTGGAAATGTTTATTCTTTATTTCAGAAAGATTTAGTGGGTGTAGAGATAATAGAGCATAGTGCTCACTTGTGTCTTGGGAAAGGAGGGGTGATGGTGTTTAGGTTTTAAGGGAGTCCAGTGTCGGCTCTCATGGGGAATATTTTTGGAAATACCTATTGCAATCTCATGCACTTGGAAGGCAGGAGGAGACAGAGGAATGAAATGTGCTTTTCAGGAGAGGTGTTGTAAAGGCCCCAGGATTAGTTATCTCTGACAGGAAGGATTTTACAGACTCCAGCAGACAGCAGAGGCAGAATCCTGGCCATTTCTGCACTGGCATGTAGATCTTCCAAGGTCCTGTGCCGGGATGCTTCCCTTGGAGCAGCTTGGAGGGTCTCCTGGCTCCTGCTTTCTCCAGCCTGATGTAGAGAACATCACACTGTAACTCAGAAAATAGGAAAGGATCTTCAAAACAAGAGTCAGGAGGGTCAACAGGCCAACTTTAGTCCCCAGTGTCACCGTCATGGTGCTGCCTTTCCTGCTGTGCATGCTGAGCTCTGCTGCACTGCCTGTCCTTGGAGCCACTCAAAGTCAAACCCAAAAGACCCCGGGCTGACCTCTGTGGGGGGAGAGTCCCTGCCAGGGCTTGAGACAGCAAACGTCTAGACTTGGTATGTGAGCAAGCAAGTGAAGGGATGACTAAGTGTCTGAAAGTTTGGACCTTTGGAGAGGAGTCCCTTGGCTCTTCGTTTCTTGGATACAGTTCTGCTTCCTGTGGAGCCATGGAGATGATAATATTTTTTCTCCCTTTTTTTTTTTTTTTTTTTTTTCCCCTTTGCAGAAAAGTAAAAAACATACAGATATGTCTTGGGCGAGAAAGCAGAAACCTTTGAAAAATTTTGGCAAATCAAGACACATGAAGAATGTGTCGAGTGAAACATTTCAGAGCGACAAAAATCAAAACATCTCACTGCGCCTTCCACCGCTCTAAAACATTTTAATGGTTCGAAAGGAAATTTCAAAGTGAAAAGTCATGTTTTGCTTAAAACACTAGAAAGTGTTTCATTAAAAAGGAGGAGTGGAAGCAAAACAATTGCCTTTTTTTTTTTTTTTTTTTCCCCCAATGAACCTGATGAGTCTTTCCCCAGCTGATGGTGAAGTCAGGAGCTGGGACTAGACACATCTTCCATTGTGTTACAAGGTGCTGGCATCCTTGGATCTGAGAAAGGGACAACCTGATGAAGCCATTTGCCATGCAAGAAATTTTTGAATCACCATAACTGTTTTATTTATTAATTTTAAAATGCAAATTTGCAGGCCAGCTCAGTCCCAGGGCCATGCCTGCTGATCAGCCGATGCCTGCAGAGATCTTTCCAGTGACAGGACAGACTCACATGCTAGGGAATGAAGAAAGGGGCTGAGGAAGCCCTTCCTCACCAGAGTGCTGTGACATGTAGGTTGGAATGGTGGTCTTGGTGGTCTTGGGATCTCTGCTGGCTGTTTGTGCAGTTGAGAGGCCATCAAGTGTGGGATGTGGCACCCTTGACCTGCATAATGTATTTGGACAGGCTCTGCACTGGGAAATAGACAGCAGAGAATCACAGAAGCAATCCTAAATTGGAAGGGACCACAGTGGGTCATCCAGTCCAAGGTTTAGAGAGAAAGAGCACCATGAAGACGTGCTGGTGGCTGAGATGAAGGGATCTCCCTGGGGGCTACAGTGGCCAGGGAACCTTCCTCGTTCCTGGGAGATTTGGGGACAGCGTGCAGAGTCAGCTGGATGGCAGAGGGAGGCACAGAGACTGCCTGGGGGACACCAGGGGATGGGGAAGGCCGACAGGAGGGGAGGAAGGCTAAGGAGAGGCGGGATGGCTGGCTAAGGGGAGGTAGGGAAGGAGACGCTGAGAGGAGATGGAGAAGGCTGAGGGGAGGCAGAATGGCTGAGGGTAGGTGGGGGGCAGAGGTGAGCCGGAGCAGCAGCCGGGAGGCCGCGGAAAGGCTGAGGCACGGCTCGGCGGGGCGGGGAGCGCGGGCCGGGGGCTGAGGGCCGGCGGGGGCTGAGGGCCGGGCCGGGGGCTGAGGGCCGGGCCGGGGGCTGAGGGCCGGCGGGGGCTGAGGGCCGGGCCGGGGGCTGAGGGCCGGGCCGGGGGCTGAGGGCCGGGCCGGGGGCTGAGGGCCGGCGGGGGCCCCGCACCCCCGGCGCGGCCGCCCCTTCCCCTGCGGCGCCGCGCTCGGCCGGGCTCGGGCGCTTTAAGGCGCGGGCGGGGCGCGGCCCCGGCCCACCTCTGAACCCGGAGATTGACGGGCGGGCGCGCAGGGGGCGGCGCGGCCCGCGGGCCGTCCCTCCCGCCGCCGCCGCCGCCAATGGGGCCGGGGGGGCGGGCGGCGCCGCTGCCCCTTCCTCCCCCCGCCCCCGGGCTCCTCCGTGCCAGTTTGAGGAGTCCGGAGCCGAACAAAAGCAGGCGGCGAGGGCCGGAGCGGTGCGCGCAGGCCCGGCGCAGGGGGGGCCCAGCCAGCCCCGAACGCGGCCCCGGGGTGGGGGAAAGTTTGGAGCCCTCCCCCGGTGCGCGGGGGCTCCGCCGCGCTCCGGCCGCGGTAGCTGCGGCGCTGCCATCGCGGGCGGCCGCCCCGCCGCGGCCAGCGCTGCCGCCGCCGCCTCCTCCTCCTCTTCCTCCTCCCCGGGCGCAGCCCCTGCCCCCGGCCCGTCCGCTGCCTCCCCGGCGCGGGGCTGAGCTGCCCTGCTTTTGGAGTCGCCGCCGTTTCCCCTCCCTTCCCCGGAACCCCCCCTTTCCCTCCCTCCTCCTTCCCTCCCTCCCTCCCTCCTCCCTCCCTCCTCCTCCTCCTCCTCCTCCAGCAGCCAAAGGGATTTTTTCCCTTTTCTTTTTTCTCTCTTTTTTTTTTTCCTCCCCCCCCCCCCCTTTCATTTTTCTCCTCCTCCTCTTCCTCCCCGCCGCGGAGCCGGGCGCCAGCGTGAAGGATAAATAAAAAGCGAAGAGGAAGAGGCTGGGGAGGAGGAGGAGGAGGAAGAAGGGGGGGGAGGAAAGAAGAAGAAGAAAGCGAGCAAGAAAAGAAAGCGAGGAGCCAGGCGGCCAGCCCAGCCGCGCCGCTCCCGGCAGCCAGGGCAGGAGGCGGCGGCGGAGCGGGGCCGGCGGCCGGCGATGGATGACCAGCCGCGGCTGATGCACACGCACAGCGGGGTGGGGATGCCGGGACACCCGGGCCTGTCCCAGCACATGCAGGATGGACCAGGCGGGGCGGAGGGGGAGGCAGGCAGGAAGCAGGACATCGGAGACATCTTACAGCAGATCATGACCATCACGGACCAGAGTTTGGACGAGGCGCAGGCCAGGTGAGAGCGGGGGAGGGGGCAGGTGCCGGGAAGTTTCCCCCGCGCCCCGGCCCGGCCTTTGTTGTCCGGCGGGGGGAGCGCGCCCGGCCGCGGGCGCATCGGGGGACGGGGGTCCTGCTGCTCCTGCTGCCGAGAAATGTGGCGAGGAAGGAAGGCGAAAAAAAGGGGACACCGGTTAATACCCCCCACCTTCCCCCCCCCTCCACCCCCCCCCGCCCTCGTTTATTATTTCCCATCTTTCTCCCACCTCCCAACTTCGGGGCGGTTTCGAGGGGTCGCCGCGCCCGCAGCCGCCTCCTCCCTCCATCCACAAACTGGGCCTGGCTTTTCCCAGCCTTTTTGGGGTGGGGGGTTTAACTGCGGTGGGCGGTCGTGGTTGGGGCTCCGCTCTGGGCTCCTCCGAAAGAGCCACGAAGTGCTGCCCCGCTTTTAGGGCTGCTAATAATGTTCTTTCTTAGGCCCCTGTAGTGGTGTTATTTTTTCAGCGCGTTTCTGCGCTTTGAAGATGCTCATAGAAGCTTTGCCTTTTTTCTTTTTTTTTTTTTTTTTTAATTTCCTTAATTGCAGATGTATTTTAAAAGGAAAAAAAAAAATAATGCCGTAAGAGCCGGTATCTGAATTGCCCTGAGCTTCGGGGAGTGCAAACCTAATGCGCACCTTCAAAGGCACTACCAAAAGTTCAGGGAGGGGAGGGGAAAAAAAAGGCTCAAATGAAATGAAGGAATTGGAACAAAAAAGTTGCCCTGAATTGCCTTGGTTACACTTGATATCTCTTCTGGGATGCAAAGCTGCTTGGTGTTATTGTCCTTCCTCTTGATATTTATGCCCATAGTTGAAGCAGATTGCTAGAATACATTGTTCCTGGAAGAATGAACCGCACAGCCCCCAAAACTCGCTTGAGAACTTGCAGAAGGATAAAAGTACCCCAAACCTCAGCTTCCATCCTTCCTGCCTCCGCAGCTTCTCCAGAGCTCCCGCTTGCCAAAAAGGCTCGTTGCAGGGTTGATCTTACTCATTTTCTTATGTTCTTGCAGGGGCAAGAGTAGCTGTGAGGAGGAGGAGGAGGAAATCATTCACTTTCTCCCCGGCCAGACCTGGGGCAGTGAGGGGCTCTTCCTTTGGAAAGTTGCAGGAATCGTGTGTGTTCCTGCCTGGATAATTTAGTGTAGTTAATCAAATCAATAAAACCAAAGCAGAACAGAGCTAGAAGAAGGCTTTATGGGTTTTCCTTGCTGGTCTATTTCAGCTGCTTCTTCACGTGCTTATTTTTTATTTTTGTAAATTATTATTTTTAATTCTGAGCGGGCAAACATGCTGTAGTTATCAATAACATTTGGCTTTGCATTTCCTCCTTCCGTCCTACTACTGCACGGTTGTTTTGATGCCTCTTTTTTTGTTTGTTTGGTTTTTTGGTTTTTTTTGTTTTTTTTTTAATTAAGTTTTTGGAAGATGCAAAGTGCCAGCATTATTTGTAAGAGAACCCTTACAGCATATGTACGTGATTTGCGTATACCCAAATGTCTGCGCCCATCTGGGTGTGCTGATAAGGGAACGCTGTGGTTCTGCAAGGGTATATACCTTTGAGAGACTTCATCAGATATATAAATCTTTTTAACATGTTGTGGGTGGTGGGGTAAGTAGTGTGAATGTTTGCCAGATGTTCACATCATCTTTCGCGTGTAATTTTGGTTGGTAAACAGAAATCCCCGTAACCGGCGCCGGATAGCAGCAGCCCTGTGTGCAACTAAGCCCTTGGCTAAATCACCCTATGGCTCAAGAGGAAAAAAATTAAATCACGCTGTTTCTTTGCCTCAGCGGGCGCGTGGTGGGTTTTAAAACCAGCCAATTAAAGCGCCCCCTCCCCAAAGTCTCTCCTCAAAACCCACAGGAGAACGGTCAGCTCTGGAATAACAGCAGCCGAAAGGAGCAGCGTTGAATAGCGTTCCCTCCCTTTCTGAGAAGCAGCCGGCTGTGATTTTTTTAATGTGTTTACTGTCCCAATTGTAAAGAATTAAATTTTAACACCTGCAAATAAGCTGGATGTAAGTAGCATGGAGGCAGAGGAATGGGTTTCTCTCTCCATGTGTCTTTCTGTGCTCCACGTTGAGCGCTGAAATTCCCTGAATTGACAGCTCTAAGCAGGGGATGTTTCCAGCACTGGGGCAAGGAGGAGTTTATTTCCCTTCTGCCTCACAAATAAAGCACATGGCCTGGTGTAATATTGGAGGTTGGGGACAGGGAGAGCCCAGTGCTGTGTTTGTGTTGAACGAGGCAGTTGATCCGAGCTTGGCTCCCAAGAGCTGCTGGCTCTGCCGTGGAGCATCGCCTGCCTCGCGCTGGCCGTGGAGCTGCTTGGTGGCCAAGGCGGTTTTCGTTCCTAAACTGGTGACATTCATCTCCCCTGCCTTGGGTAGGTGGCTGTTTGCAGCACTGGGGGCTCAAAGCTGCCCTCCCTACGCCAGCTGGCATGAATTTGGAAAGTTGTTCCTCATGGTGACAATCCTGAGCTCACCCTCCCCTCTTTTCTTTTCTCTCCAGGAAACATGCTTTAAACTGCCACAGGATGAAGCCGGCGCTTTTTAATGTCTTGTGTGAAATCAAAGAAAAAACAGGTAGGAAATCAATGCTGTTGGTTCTGTATTGTTTTTGTTCTCTGGGGATTTTATTCCCCAAGTTTGTGCCCCCCCCCCCCCCACCCCCATGCAGCAGTATTTAAGTGGGGAGAAAAAACTCGTTGGTATTTAATGCTTCTGGCAGTGGACTTGCATGATGTGGTTTGTGTCTAGAAGAGAAAATATCGTGGTTTAATTTCTATTGTATAGCCTTTCTTTATTTATGGCTTTTTCTGGGGAGAAAAAAAAAAAATCAACCCCCTTGCAATTTCTGTCTTGCTCTAGTTTCTTCTTTAAGACATGGCACTGCTTAAAAAACAAAATCTGAATGCAGAGTGGATGTGTGGGAAATAATCCCAACAAAATGAAACTGCAGTTTTATTACCATTAGTATTCAGGTAAACACAAAGGTTTCTTACTTTTTTTTAAAAAGAAAGTTAAAATGCTCTTGTCTGCCAATCATCCAGGCTAGCTCATGTAAGAGCGAGTTGTCAGTTGCCTTTAGTGAAAGCAATATATTAGATTGTTAGTTACTTTAGGGTACTGTTGTTTTATGGCATGGGGTGTTCTCAGGCTTCTTTAGAAGCTAATGGCATGAGAGCGTTGGTTCTGCTGTTTCCCACTTTCCAGACCTCCTACCATGTACTAACACACTTATAACACATCCCAGGGGGGCATTTAAATTTTAAAAGCAACAATTAAAAAATAGCAGTCATCAATCAAGGGTGATCTTAAACAACAGATGCTCAGGGAAGGACATTTAGCAACATGCACCACTTATTTATGTATTTGTTGGAATCTCTTCTTTTTTTTTTTTTTTTTTTTAATATAAATGTTAAAAAAAAAAAAAAGTGGGGGGAATGATGGAAATTCAGGGGGTGGTTCATCTCTCCTGTTGGCTTTCTGAGCTGACCAGAGTTAATCTGTGGGCTTTCCCATGCCGCCGTAGCTGCCTTGTTTTAGCACGCTGCAAAGTACTTGACTTTTCCACCCCCTTCCCCCCTCTTTACAACAAGGACTGAAACAGTCAATAATTCATATCTAAGCCATATAAGCAAGGGCATGACATGAATGAAAGTGACAATAAATATGATTGCACACCCGGTTGATATACATTGATAGTTACACATA